AGTTATACTTAACAAATTATTAAGTTCTTTTTAACATGATAATATGATTAAGCATTTTTATTTTTCTATTGGCTAGGGTAGATTAGATTGATTTAAGTTCTGTATGGGTGGTCAAAATTAATTGTGTTAATAAATTTAAGGAAATCGTGTCTTGGTTTTCTAAGTAGGTGTAACCTTCGCAATAATTAATTTGACTTACTGGGGGAATAGGTTACACCTTAGTTAATTATTGATTTAAATATCTTTATTTCTTTATTTATGTATCAATAATTGATTAAGGCTCACATTATGCAGGACCTACTAGTTGAGCTCCGCAGAGTATTAATGTTGAATCACAAATAAATTTGATCTCAATATAACTCGTTTAGAGATAAATAACTATTATTTATTAAGAAATAAATTTGTCATCTTTGATGCTTTTAATATATTCCTAGATATTTATATATCAAGTAGCATTAATAGCTTTGCGTTGCTTTAGTATAGTGCAAATTATTATCATTATTATTACTATTACTATTCTATATATATATATATAATTAATTAATTAATTAATTAATTCTCGTCATAACAAGATCTGGTTTTCATGCACATACCTTGATTAAATGCAATAAACTTGATTCCAACAAATCATATTTTGGTACATAAATATCACTGATCATATTATCCAGAAACTCCTAATAAAGCATCTTTATGTAGAAACATTGTATGTTTGTATGCAATAAGTTATAAGTCAGTAAACAACTCAGTTGAAAACCCTAAACCCTAAAAAAACCCTAAACCCTAGACAGGAAAAAGTAATTTTATGAGTAAATTTCAAGATTTTAAGATTTGAAATGCTCATAAAAAAACTAATTCTATGTGGGATGAATTAACAAGGACTATTAAACAAGTGACAAAAGAAGTATTTGGAGAATCAAAAAGAAAATGTTTATAAATAAAAATAGATGGTGGAATAATAATGTACAAGAAAAAATAAAATATAGAAAGTTTTGATATAAAAATTAATTTAAATGTAAAAGCTTAGAAAACTGAAAAAAAAATAAATAAACCATAAGAAGTCTAAGAGTGCAATTTGTGATGTTAAATCTCCTGCTTTTAGTGATCTTTATAATATAATGGATACTAAATAGGATGAAAGCTATATGTATAAACAAGCTAAACAAAGAGAAAAAGAAATTAAAGATTTAATTCAAATAAAGTGTATTAAAGATAAAAGTCAAAATGTGGTGTTAAACCTCCTGCTTTAGTGATCTTTATAGTAGATTGGATACTAAAGAGGATGAAAGCTATATGTCTAAACAAGCTAAACAAAGAGAAAAGGAAATTAAAGATTTAATTCAAATAAAGTGTATTAAGGATAAAAAATCAAAATGTGCTTTACTTAGAGGAAGGTATTCAACATAGGTGGGTGAGATATTTGGATAATATTTTCAATGAAGGTTTTGAAAATGTGATCAACCTCAGTGATCTTAATATCATTGATAATAATAAAACTTTTTGTTTTTACCGTCACATTAGTAAAAAGGAAGTTAAAGAGGCTTTAAGGAAAACCAATGATGGAAAATCAATAGGACTAGATGATATCCTAATAGAAGCGTGGAAATATTTAGAAAATTTAGAAGTTCCTTGACTTACTTAACATTTTAATATTATTTTAAAAACTAAAAATATGTCCGAGGAGTGGAGGAAGAGAATTTTAGACTCAGTTTTTAAGAACAAAGGGATGCACAAGAGTGTGCAAACTATAGAGGAATAAATTTAATGTGTCATACATCAAAATTATGGGAGGGAGTAATTGAACATAGGTTAGGATGTGATACCAAATTTTCTCATAATCAATTAGGATTTATCCTAGGCAAGTCTACCATGGAAGTTATACATTTATTGAGAGATTTGATGGAGAAGTACAAAGAGAGTAAGGAGGCTCTGCATGTGATTTTTATTGATTTAGAAAAAACCTTACAATAAGGTTTCAAGAGAAGTTCCTTGGAGAGTTCTAGAAAACAAAGGTGTTGATGTGACTTATATTCAAGCCTTTAAAGATACATATATACTAGAGTTGTTACTTGTGCTCGAACAGAATAAGGATTGACCAAATATTTTCATATTTCAGCTAAAATCCACATCAAGGTTCAACTTTAAGCCCATATCTTTTTCCTTTAGTTTTGGATGCTCTTACTGGACATTTACATGATGATATACCTTGGTGTCTATTTTTCGCTAATGATATCCTTCTTGAGAATAAGACTATATAAAGAGTTCAGGAAAAACTTGAAGTATGGAGGTCTACATGGAAGAGTCTAAAGGCCTTCGTTTGAGTAGATCTAAAACTGAATATAAGTAATATAGTTCTAGTTTAAAAGATCTAGTAGTAGAGTTGTCATAATGGGTGATCAAATCATTAAAAGGTGTGAAGGATTTAGATACATTGGGTCAATTTTTCAAAGTGATGTTGATATAGATGGGGGAGATTATTAGTAAAATTCAAGTTGGATGGTTGAAGTGGAGGAATGCATGGGTCTATTGTGTGATAGAAAAGTACCGCTTAGACTGGTTGAAGTGGAGGAATGCAGGAGGAATGCATGGGTCTATTGTGTGATAGAAAAGTACCGCTTAGACTTAAAAAAAAAATTTAAGATGGTTGTGAGACCTACAATGCTGCATGGCGCAGAATTTTGGCCTTTAAAAGAGAAGCATAAAACCAAGTTAAGTGTTGCTGAGATGAGAACGCTTAGGTGAATGAGTGGCTTGACACTTAGAGACAATGTGAAACGAATGTATCCGTGAAAGGGTTGGTGTAGTTTCTATGACAAACAAGTTTAGAGGGAGTAGTCTCAAATGGTTTGGTCACATTAAATGATGACAACTTGATAATCCTGTTAGAAGAGTAGATGTTTTAGATTCGAATTAATGTTAAAAAAAAGGTAGTAGTAGACCTAAAAAGACTTGGGCATGTTGTATAAAAAATGATCCTAATTTTTTAGAACTAAATGAAAATATTATACTCAATAGAACACAATGGAGAAAAAGGATTCATACGGTCTATAAAAAATGATCTTAATTTATTAGAACTAAATGAAAATATGATACTCAATAGAACACAATGGAGACAAAGGATTCATACGGTCGACGCCACTTAATGGGGTAAAGTCTTACGGTCAATCTCTTATCTATCATGTATCGTGTTATTTCAAGAGTTAAGATCAATCCCTTTATCTATCATGTCTCGTGTTATTTCAGTCAACTGTCTTCTACAGTCGAACATAAACAATGATAGTTGATAAAAAATGATAGATTTCATAAAAAATAGCATGGTCATCCAAAACATTTTGACAAACATAATCATTAATAAAATCATAAAACTTTAAGTACATTAAATTTAGAAATAAAAGAATAGACCAAGATTCTATTTTTTTTCTAGCCACTTGAAGTTTGCAAGATAAAATGAGATGGGCATCATTAAATCAACTTAATCTTCCATTGAAATGAAGTTCAAACTAAAATTTCATTTGGAGTAATCAACTATACACGTCAGATTTAAGCCAGAGGTGGCATTGGACCAATTGATTTTCTTGGACTTGACAAGACCTGCTCCAATACTCATACATGAGTAATTATGTAACACAACGTAGTCTTGTTTAGTTTCTTCATCAATATCAATTATCACATTATAATCTTCTTAATCACTCGTATTTTCTTCAATTGAAATAGCCTCATCATCATCACAGCTCTCATCGAAGGCAAAATAACATGTGCAATTCAGCATTTGTGATATGCACTATAGCACAAGCGATATTAATCATTTATGCCGTATGATGGTAATAGTGTATATCATGTGTCCTACACTGTGGTTTGTGAGTCATTTCAGTCATCAAATGCTGTGAGCTATAAGATGTGAAATTTTGCATGATTGAAAATTGTGTTCTGATAAAAGCTGAATGAAAAAATGTGGCTTAAGAAAACAAACAAGCACGAGGGAAAGTGGGGATTCATGTTGGTAATGACAATCAAACAACCAATACATAAGGTTTCTTCAAATGGGACAAGATTTTTATCAACAACAGAATAAGAAATGTATTAGTATCAAATTTATTGTGAGAATAACGGCATACAAAGGCAACTATAAATTTAGCAAGCTTAGAGCATAAAATATAAGAAGTAGCTAAAAGAGAGCAAATCAAGGGCATGAATGATTGGATGCCAATGAAGCTACATTGAACTTTTTAAGAGTATGATAATGCTGATAAGAGATGATGATAAAAGAAAATGAAGTTGTTCAAATATAAGAAGTAGCTAAAAGAGAGCAAATCAAGGGCATGAATGATTGGATGCCAATGAAGCTACATTGAACTTTTTAAGAGTATGATAATGCTGATAAGAGATGATGATAAAAGAAAATGAAGTTGTTCGTGACTAAAGCAATTATAATGGAAAACAATTTCATTTGAGTAAATGGAAATATAGGGTGTAGGATGAATTGAGGTGTCCACTGTAATACATGGTTTGAAAGCCAATAGTTAAAAGAACAACGTGTGAAAAGGTCGATATTCAAACTAAGAGATAGAAAAGAAAGGAGATGGAGAGAAGAAAAAAAAATGAATATAAAAAAAAATTTGGGTCTTCACTATTCCTAGCATTACATTTTAATGATGGTAAGGAATAATCAAAGAAACTCATTCATCTACATATCATTTGTACGTTCATTGACATGCTAAACAAATTAAAATCAAATATAAGTATAGAATATTATTTTCCTTACCTGAAGAAGAAATATATATAAGCTACAAATAATCATAAATTGAATTTCAGGAGATAAGACTGCAAACTATGCCACAATTGGAGGATACCGTGCCAGAAGCAACAGAGGATCCGAGTTAAATCTTAGTACATTTTTGTTTCTAATAAATCATAAGAACATTACATATCATGCAAAATCAGAAGATACATGATACTCAACTCACAATATCTTTTCAGTTATAAAATGCTAGAACAACTTTCAGTTACCAGAAAAAATAATAATAATAATAATAATTTCTGAATGATATGCAATAAGTATCAGAATAAGGAAGCAGGTTTAATACACAAAAGACGCGATCCTTCAAGAAGAACAGAATAGGATATTAAAAGCTAAAAAAAAAAAGCACCAATTTCAAAATTACTCCTGCTTCTACAACCAGAGAGAAATTCATACTCAAATCTCAGCACATGGAAGGCAAGAGCAGCCTGATCAATCCTTATTCCTCTTCAAGCGCGCTAAAGCAAAAGATAAAGAGGAATGACAAGCGTCAATTTGTTCTACTTCTTGAAACGAGCAACCTCTCGCTCGTTAGGGAAGAAGCCCATAAGACGACCAGCAGAATTCTGGTAGGCGTACATGAAGCCGCCCATAAGCCCGATAAGACCGCCGGTAACCATCGACGGACCCCGGATGTTGGGCTTGATCCCTGCGAGATGATGAATTGAGGACTAGTGATAAAACCAAACCCTAAGAAGGAAGAGAGAAAAAGATAGAACAGAGAAGAAGAGACGGACCAGAGAGGTAGCCGACGGTGACGGAAACACCAGTGATGGTTGATAAGCGAAGGTAATCAAGGGCGCTGAAATTGGCAACTGTCTTGGTGAAGGGAGGGTTTCGATCAATCACCGGATACTCCGGCTTAGCAGATGCAGTAATATCAGTGTTCATTTCGTTCTCTCCGTCTTCCTTTGCTCCGCCGCCGGTGATTCTCTTCCGCACAGTGATGATCTGCCGCGCAGACGCCAACTTCGGCCGCTATCAACGGAAAAAATCTTGCGACCGGAGTCCAAACTTCGGCCTTTCAAAAAAAAAAATTTCTATGCTCCTCAATTATTTTCTATGAATTATTTTTAATAATCCCAAAATAATCCAAAAATAACCCGCGGTCTGTAGGTTATTTTTGGGTTATTTCCACATTATTGAAAATAACTAAGAAATAATCTGAACATAACTCAAGAATAACCTCTGCGGCAGGTAGAGGTGTGTCAGGAGTCCGGACAAAAAATGCGATCGTTAACCAGAAAAAAAATTTTCTGTGCGGACTCTTGTTGTAGCTCTACGTGCCGCGGAGGTTATTCCTGAATTATTTTCAGATTATTTCTGGGTTATTTTCAATAATTCCGAAATAACTCAGAAATAACTCAAAAATAAAGACGGCGGATTATTTCTGGACTATTTCCGGATTATTGAAAATAACCCGGAAATAACCTGAAAATAACTCAGAAATAACCTTCGCGGCACGTAGAGCTACGTCAGGAGTCCAGACAGAAAACGCGGTTGTTAACCAACAAAAAATTTTTTGTGCATACTCCTAGCGTATCTACGTGTTGTTGAGGTTATTTCTGAATTATTTTCAGGTTACTTCTGAATTATTTTCAATATTCTCGAAATAATCCAAAAATAAAGACCGCGAGTTATTTCTGGGTTATTTCTTTCAATCCTGAAATAACCCAGAAATAACCTGAAAATAACTCAGGAATAACCTCCCCAACACGTAGAGTTATGTCAGAAGTCTGGACAGAAAATGCGTCTGTTAACCAGCAAAAAATTTTCTGTGCAGACTCCAGACGTAGCTCTATGTGCCGCGGTATTTATTTTTCTGTGCGGACTCCTGAGTTTGTGTCAAGATCGACCAGTTTTGGAATGGAGGATTGCAGAGCACATTTGAGGCACATGATTGGTAATTACATAGATAAAAAAATGATTTGTAAATAACAATATTTTGAATGTCCAGTATGTAATTGTCCCTTTTATTTTTTATATTTAAATTGTTTCTTATTTATTATCTTAAAAATACTCATTTTATGAATCATTTTATTATAATATTAATTTAAATCAATATCATTTTCTCTATTTCATACTAAATAAATTGGCTCATGAGCCAGCTCTAACTCGTAGAGTTAAGGTCGAGTTTGTGCTCGATTAATTAATAAAGCTCAAACTCGAGTTGACGGTCGCTTGAGAAAAAGGAAAGAAATGGTGTTTAGGCGAGGGGATTACAACAAAGTATTTTTATTGTATTCTATTTTAATTTATTATTTCCTATTTAAGGGCTTTAGATGTTAGATAAATAAAAAAAAAAAAAATTATACTCGTTAGATCTATAAATTAGAGTATTTAAACTTTATTTTTTCATTTATACCGTCCAAATTTCTCATTTCACCTACAAAATATCACTATTTTTAAATTTTAAAAAGTGAAATATTCATTTTCATGCATGGGGAATGTATTGCGGTTCGATTATTGAATAATATCATTTAAATATTTATTTTTAAGCTCAAAGAGCATTGATTGATACAGCTTAGTTGTTTTTTCCTAATTGTTCGTATAAAGCTAGAATAATGTTCGATTAAAGCATAAGTAAAACTTGATTATGCCTCATTTATTTTGTTAAAAAGCTCGATAAACTTTTTATGAATCATGCTTAGGGCGAGCTCAGCATGGTATTTATAAATAAGCTCATGCTCGAACCTAATTTTAAAAGCTCGAATCTAGCTTGTGAGTCTGTATGGTGCAGCTGTAGCTTATTAAGAAGCACATGTGAAGCTGCTGAAAAAATAATCTGATGTTGCAAAAAGCTATAGTGGCTATTACATTTTTTTTAGATTAGATCACAGCTAGAAAGCTGCCTCCTCACCTAGCCAAAATCGATGAGAAAACGTTGATTTCAGCGGTAACTTTTTGAGTAAACTGTCAAAACGCAGTTTATCCAAATGAGCAAAACTATGGTGTTATGTCACACCGCTGCTCAAACGGATCCTGAGTTGAGCTCAACCAAGATGTTAATAAACGAGCTTGAGTTTGAACATGCTATAACTTAGTTTGGATTAGTTCATTTGCAACCCTAAAGGCAACGATCTTGGAAGAAAAAAAGATACAAAATATGAAAATAGTACATGATTTTATTAAAAAAATAAATTAATATATAATTGAGAGGTAATAAATATTTTAAATTGTATTATTTTATATTTTAGAATTATTTAAATTAAACTAAAAAATAAATATGTGAATCAAAATTGTTTATAGTATTTAATCTTGTTTTGATTTTTAATATAAATTAATATAATAATAATATTAAAGAACAACATCTTTTCTAGCTTTTTGTGTTTGTCAAAAAGTAGTTTGACAAATGGTGAATATGATTAGGTTTGATTTGAAAGTATTGGGTGAGAGCAAATTTATTTAAATATTTATATTTAATGTTTAAGATGACTGAAATTTACAATTCATAGCATTCAATTCTCATTTATTTACTTATTTCACATCTAAACTTTGATTTTTTACATTTTAAGTATTCTAATTTATGCATGAAAAGGTGGATTATACAATTCCTACTTTTTCCTACATAGGAAAAAGATGCTTTAGATGTAAGTATTAAAGTTTGGATATGAGATAAGTAAATGTATAGAAGCTAGGTGCTATGTATGTAGATTCCCCTTGATTTTAATATATTTCATGGCTAGTTTGATTTATTTAAAGAATGAATGGATGCTTCTCTATGTAATCTTAATAATAAAAAGGTAAATATGTTGAATGATTATAAATTATATATTATATTTGACCAAAAAAGAAATGCATGTTATTTTTATCAATCTAAAAATAGGTTTTTTTATTATTTTAAATTTATTTATTTATTTTTATCTTAGACCCGTTTCCTTTATTGTCTATTAAGCAGGTTAAAACTAAATTAATGTTTTTTCTCCATTTTCGTTTCATTTACTCCTTTTCAATTCCCTTAATCATTGTTAAAATGACTCATGCAAAAATATTATTTTGAGTCCCTCATAGTTTATTTCTGAGGACTCAAAATTTCAAAATTAGGTTAAATTCCATCCAAAAGAAAAAGAAAACTTAGGCTAACTTCCACTTATCAGGTTGCACCAATATCGTTCATAATAAGGTTATAGAATCATTATTTTAAAATTTTGTTTATATTTATAGTAAATCTTTCGTCAGCTAATCACAAATGTTAGCACACAACTTTGAAATAAGCCGGACCAAAAAGTTTAGTTCAAGCAAAATTTTTCTTGTGTTTGAGATGTTTATAAACCAAAAAAGTTTTTATTTTTCTTTGTTATTAATTAAGAAGAAATTTGAGATGTTCATATTTCTCAAGCAAATTGGGTGATCACTTAGCTCACTTAGAGTAGAGCAATACCAAAGCTCTAAACTTTAGTGTTGTCATTAATTTAAAACTTAAAAGATAATTGTACTTCAAATCAATCTAAACAACGACAAATTTATAAAAGACGAGCCAACCAAAGACAAATGATTGTCTTGTTTGTTATAATTTGAAGTTTGTTTGAAATTCATTTGGTTTGTTTGTCATCAAGTAACAATCGAGTTGATTCATGGTTTGAAAACAAAATCAAGCCAATTAGAAAGCTCACTTAACGTTCATATATGTAGATAATGTTCTAATGACGTACTATGATTGTCACGTATTATCAAATTTTTAGTCATTTAGAATTGCTTGGATTTAAATATGAATCGAAGTTATACTAAGTGTGTAAAGTGTAAATAATTCAAATTTGCTTGAAATTGATCTATTGTGTCACGTCAATTTCAATAAAATCATAATTTAAATTCAAATAACCACAGATTAGATAAAACTAAAAAATATTAAATTTGAGTTAAATTAACTCACTAGAACTCAAATGTAGGCCATAAATACACTAAAAGGGATAGTTTTAAAGGTTAGATGTCATTTCCTTGTTTTAGAAGTCTCATTTTTTTATGTTTGAGATCTCCCAACACTCATAAGGAATAGATGTTGATCATCATGATGAAAGTTCAAAAAGAGTTGGATGTATCCAATGTATCATTCTAATAAAATTCACAAGTACAATATGAGTATGATGAGTTGTGATACCCTAGAATTTTTTAGTAATTCTCATTATGACCGACTAAACTTTATGAGGTCCAATATTTTGCTAAAACATGGCTCATGTTAGATTGTTGATTAAGGTGAAGCTTACCTTATCATGTAAGATAAACTGAATAGAGCCTCCAATACCATTAATTTTGACTTGACTATAGCTTGATGAGCATAAAGTTTCTCTACTTATACATTAACCCATATTATTTACTCTAACGTATTCCTAATCCAACAAAAGTAACTTAGTATACCCACTCATAACATTTCTCTAGAATAGAACTACTTGTAGACATCACTTATTCTTAGCTTAATATACTTTAAAATGCCCTACTTTAGGTAGCACAACTCTAGCACATCTTAGTTAGACCCTAGCCCAATATTGATTATCCCAATTAACCTAGATGACTAATAAGTATGCCTAATTAAACTTATATAAACCTCCAAATCCATGGCTATTATATAACCCAATTCAAAATTAATGTCATTTAGGTTGGCTTTATGTTAATCAACTAGACCTAATTAAGTTTGACCCAATGCAACACCCTTATGACAAATTAAAACATGACCCCTCCTAATTAACTTTATATGAATACAATTCTCGAGCTCTTAGATTAAGATGCTAGTACTGAGGTTATTCCTTAAAGATAGGATATAAAATGCTTATTGTTATTTAAATTCTTACATGAATTGTAAGATCTAACAATCGAAATTTTTTATAAAATAAAATATATGGCAAAATGTAAAAAAAAAAAAAAAAACAAAACAAAACAAAAAGAAAAAAAAAAAAAAAAAAAAAAAAAAACCCGCCTTATCTTCTTTAAATATTAGAATAAGTACATCTTTTTAATTGGAAGAGATCTTTAAGTTAAAGTTCTAAAATTGATAACTCATAGATCATCTCTATTAATCATTCAAAGATCTCATTTTAAAAAGCTTAAATTAATTATAATTAATTTAAATAACAAAAATAAAAAAATTTAAGTGTTTTATATAATATTAGTAAGGGTGATTTTAAAATACAATTGTATATATATATATATATATAGCTATCACTACACTCATAATTTTAAAGAGATTAAAATAATAATAATAACTCATCATCCACATTTTAAAGTATAAATATTCTCATGGGAAGGGGGAAAACTCACTTTCTATTTCTTCATTTGTAGGCCTTAGTTATTTCTCTTAAAAGAGGTTGGATTCTTTCTTATATAAGCAAACTATTCTCTCTTTATAAGCTCAAATGGTTTGAGTATTAAATTGGCTATATAGATGAAGTATTCTCCCTTTGTATGTGTGGCAATAAAAAGGGTTCTATGCTAACCTATATAAGTAAAGTATTCTTTCTTTAAAAGCTATATTATTTTCTTTTTTCGACTAAGAAAATTGTTAAAATAGAGAATTCTAGAAAATCTCTCTCTCTCTCTCTCTCTCTCTTTGACCCACGCACACACACACACACATGCACACACACACGACTAACATAAATTGTTTAGTTTTATTTATGAATTTTGATAAATTTATTTATATCTTGAAATATAAAGGTCTCAAAAATATGAAAACATAGTGAATAATAATAATAATAATTTATATCACTTTGATAGAAATAATTAATAAAACAAAGAAAAAATAAATAGTTTTAAAGACTCACTCGTGCATATAAGTATAATTTCAAAACAAATTCATTTGAAAATATTGTGGCCTTTTGTATAATTCCTTATTTTACATGGCTTTCTTTTTAAAATTCATGCTTCCATTTAATTTTAATTATCGGGATCTAAATTTTTTGATTACTTTACATCATAAGCTAATATAAGATCTTGTTGATCTTTATAATTTAAATTGGATTACAGTTCTGTATTATTTATTGGAACTTTATAAATATTTTCTAAAATCATCCTCCTTGGAGTAAAGAAGTAAAATACATTGTAAACATTTGGAGTGTGATCTAATAATAATAATTTATGATCAAATTTCCTAGTTATAGTTATCACTTCAGATGGATTAATATGACTGGGATTTATATTCCTTTTATATCAAATCTATTCATTTTTTTTTAACGGACAAGTTTAATAAACACAAAGTCACCCCCTTAAATGTCTATTGCAAAGTGTTGTATATCATAATACATCCCCTAAATGTCATAAGCTGCCTTCATTTATACTTGGATCAATCTAATCTTCATTGCAACATTAATTGCAAGTATTGTAACAATTTTTTTCTCACTTATATTCAAGATTAATGTTTTCTACACCTTTGATCATGCATACAATATTACATTTAGTGTTATTTTAATACTAGAATGAAATCCATTATTATTATGAGAATTTTTAATTCGTGGAATGTGTTATATAATATCTAAAAAGTCATTAATATTTCTTCTATATTATACATCTATTTGTTGGTGAAAGGCTATGTAAGAAAATCATACCTAAGCCTTCCCTTTTAGAAAGAAATTTACAATCATAATCATATATAATTATTTTGAGTATAATATGTAGGCTAACAAACTCCACTTATCAATGTCATTGTATCTAAGGAATCCACCTCTTTCATAGGCAAGGCATGCGCTGTATTGGTCAATCAATTCACTCACCTAAAGATCATCATGTCCTTATCTCAGTGTGGATAAAATTTGCAATAAATTACTAGGTCTGTGATGCTCCACCTTAACCATTTTATAAGCCATATCTATAAACATAAATATAGCTACTTCTTTCTACAATTTCAGCCAATAAAATATTTTATTCATCTTGAAATGGATGGTATAGCTAGAATGATAAGCTTAATTCATATAGGATTTTTTTCTCAACTCTATATGATTGATGTTACATTGAACATTTTATCATTGAGATAATTTCCAACAAGTTCTATAAATTATTTGAAATGTTCAGATACATAACCTCTACAATCCCTCATAAAGTGAACCACTTTAAATAATGCATGTGTTGGTGCAACATGTAGATCAGCAAGCTTTAAAGTATATGTTGGTGCCAATTTAGATAAATCAAAGCCAATATATGAGGGTTATATCCACATATATAGCACATAAAGACAGTAAATTATCACTTCACTTTACAAAAAATAGTCTTTGTTGTTTAGAGGGTGTCTTAATAGCCTAATCTTAGAGAATCTTCTCAAATCATATCAATTAAATCTGAAATGGACATCAATGCTATTGAATTCAAGTCATATCTCACGATGGCTCTGTTTTTATTTATTTATTTTAAAGAAATAGCTTTAAAAACACTTAAAATATTTGAAAACAAGTATTTTTAAAAATAATTAAATGTATTACAATATATCAAATATATTTCATTTTAATTATATATTAATATATATATACCTAAATAAAAATAAAAAAATAAAATAATAGGATAATCATTATCAAATTGATCTCAAACGACCAATTCGCTTGAAGACAACGATGGCTCTGTAATAAAATCAATTCTAGAAAGCTAGCTACGTGCGTAGTTCAGACTTGCCACTCCTATCCTAGTCCTCCACTGTTGACTTTAACTGCACAGCGTCCATTTTTGACATTGTGCAAGCATGTAGCACTTCAAAATAATTAATGAAGGTAGCGAATGGGTTGTTGGTTCTTAATTTTTTATGTGTTGTATTAGTTTTAGACCCTTTACATACATGTATGCCATCCTATTATTATGTATTTGCATATGTAAAACCAAAATTTTATTTTGTGCATTTATGCCACTCAATTCTAGGTAAGTGACATGTATGTGAAATTTAGGTGCTAGATGTATAAACAGGTAAAAATTGAATGATATGGAAGTAAGTCTATCTTAATCTAAATAACTAGAATATATTTATTATATTTGTACCACTCACATCTTTCATATCATTATTATTTTAAATTTTAAAATGTAAACATTTCATGCATTTACATAAGATGACATATATGTGTGTGTGAGCCGCCAGCAGTGGTCTGTTTGTAGAGCAGCCTCTTTGAAGGTCGTAAGCTTTCTCAGCTCACGGGTTTGAATCCCCCCTTTGGTCAGTTTTCTGGTAGTAGGGGTGTTCCTAGAATAGTTAGACACATGAGGATGATTGGAAGATCATATAATAGTCTACAATTATTCATTTTTTTTAAAAAAATATATATAAGATGTTATATATGATTACATAGAAATTGAGTCATATATATGTAAGTAAATCTTCCAAAATTTGACTGGTGATTATCATCTATTCCAAATAAGAAAAAGAAAACCCCAACCACTTCCCTCCCCCTCACGTTATAAAACCCAACGTCTCACCTCATTTCTAGGCACAAACTATCAACTCTTCTCCCCCCTCTTCCTTATTTCTGCACAAACAAAGGCAAGCATACGTTCAATGGCTCAGAGAAGAGGCAGTGCCGGGCAAGCCATATCCCTTGGCCTGGCTATACTTTCTCTAATGCTTCTGCACAGCCAGCTCGCTGAATCCGCTGTCTACACCGTCGGAGATAAAAATGGCTGGACCTTCAACACTGCAGCCTGGCCAAATGCTAAGGGCAGCCGCTTTCGCGCCGGTGATGTCCTTGGTGAGCTTCGTTCTCCCAACGCAAAGGGCCAACAACCGGTCTGGTTTCCACATTTTTTTCTCTACTTCTACTTAATGTTATAATTTTTGTTTTCTCTGTCCAGTATTTAAATACAACCGGATGTTGCACAACGTGGTGGCCGTGAACGCAGCAGGCTACAATGGATGCGCGGCTAAAGGTGGTAAGATCTACAAAACTGGGAATGATCGGATAGCTCTTGCAAGGGGTCCAAATTACTTCATCTGTAGCATTCCCGGCCACTGCGAGGGAGGGATGAAGCTGCTGGTCAATGCAGCCTAAGTAATTATGCCTTAAGTATTTCATTTCCTTAAAATAAGAGTACTTCTGATATATATCAATATTTACATATGCGAGTAAGAATATAAGTCATGGTGCTGTATGGTTGATTCAGAGAGTGGCTTCTTGTTAAAATTCATAAATAAATATGTTTTGATTAGTTTGCATGTTTTGTTAAGATGATTTATCTCAAATATATATATATATATATATTATAGCTTAAGGATGTATTCTTTTCTTCTTTCTTGGTTATGTATTCTGTTGAGGAGATTTGAACGGTTGTGAAGGGAAAAATTTTTTGTTCGGACTCAAAGCTCTTCATCCGGACTCCTGTAATATACCGCCATGTGTATTATATCGGGTTCACCTAAGAAAATATTAAAGTGGAACCGCGAATGTTATTGAAGTAGAATAGTGAAGGTTATTGGAGTGAACCAAAGAGGTTATTAGAGTAGAATTGAGAATGTTATTTCGACGGTTATTGTGTGGTTATTGGGGTATTAACTTCAATAACGCCGCAATAAGCTCTCAATAACCCCCGAACAATCTACGTGGTTCCACTTCAATAACCCCCTGCAATAACCCCTAATAACCCCCAAATAGCCTATCAATAACCTTCGCCTATAATCCCTTAATAACCTCCGCAGTTCCCCTGTAATAACTCCCTGCAATAACCCTTCTATAACTTGTGGCAGCAATAACCTCTGCAATAACCCACGCAATAACCTCCAAATAACTTTTGCGTACTTCACCAATCATCTGCATTAAACCTCATAATAACCCTATAATAATCTACACGGTTTCATTTCAATAACACCCTAATAACTCCTGTGATGTAGCACATTTGATGGCAAATTACGAGAAGCACGCACGTAAAGCTGCATCCGGACTCGGGATGTAAAATTTTTCCCTAAAGTGATAGTTGGATGGTTGAAAAGAACAAGTTGGAGTAGGGTTAGGTGAAAGAATAAATCCTGGCTGGGGGATACGGTGGAGGTTTGGTAGCAGTTAGATCTATACAGTTCTTTTAATGGCATGTTTTATCAGGAATATTATCCTCACCGACACAGGTTATGGTCATGCATAAGTCGAAGAGGACGATTATAGTAATACTTGCTATTATCTTTACCGTAAGAGATAGTATAAAAGGATAGTGGGGAAGACTGTATGCGGCTTTTTAATGATTTTTTAAACAGCAGTATATCCTACTGTTCTGCTTTGTTTCCTTGTTGCTTCGAATGAACTTCAAATTGGCCAATTTTGTTGTTTTTAGCTCAATTTGATTTTGTTTTAACTTTAAAATTGATTTGAGTTTATTTTAATGGCAAAGCATCATCCAAATTATATTTCAAATTATTGTAGGCTAATAAGCCTCAAAATGAAGTCCAATTTGGGCACAAGAAGGGCTTATTTGAAAGATCTTGATGATCTAGACACGTTCTCAAAGCCCGTTTTGTAAAACTGCTCTCTGATGAAAAATTTTACATAGAACAAATTTCTCATGCATGAAATCTCGTCACACAAGACTTCACCTAAAAGTTGTCTAATAGTAGCCAAACTTATTTCATACAATTCATACTTTGATGATAAACCAAATGTAGCTCATAACATAAAAATCCAAGCATTATAATGATCCGTAGTGAAAACGATAATCTCGGGGCATAAAAAAAAATAATTTCAGAATATTTTCTCTTCATATTGTATTTTTGTCCAACCTTAGAATTTGACCCCCTTATACCCTCTGAATAACCTCCCGACGTACACAGCCTTGTGTACGTCTTGCGTACGCAAATATTTTCACAAGCAATGAGTTTCCCCAAGCTTTAATTCCTATTACTTAACATTGGCTTAACAACAATTCACCGAAAAGTAAAATGAACAGATTTGAATCATTAAACATTAGCATCTACACACACACATAAATGTGTAATTTTTCTTACCTTTGCTTCTTCCTATAAATAAGAATACTATATATATATATATATATATATATATATATGTATACTCTAGAGGGTATATATATATATATATATTTGTGTGTGTGTGTGAATTTCAATCCGACTAATAAATGGTTTGATAAGTGGAATTCTCCTATTGCTACAGTAGTAATTATTTGTTTATTGATAAATTTAATATGGTAATTAAATTAAAATTTAATTAACTTGATGCTTATTTTTATAAAATAAAAAAAAACATTAATAACTTATATGCACTGTTGTATATCAATTTGATGAATACAAAATATATAATTTTATAAAATTAGTTTGGATGCATTTAGGGAGGTATGAAAAATTGGGTGTATTATAAAATACCCTTAATTTAACTCATTTTGCTAATTTGGGTGTTACAGAAATCAAGTAAAATACAATGTGGATTGCATTGTTGTAAATCATAATTTGAATTTTTCAAACCCTAACGATCATAGGAGTCTTGTTTCTTTGCATGCTACCAACCAAATACCTACTAATTCTCTCATTGATGTGTTTGTTTAATAATCATAGTTTTAAACCAAGGGGCTTGTGTCTAAAGCATTGTAATAGGGTATATGTGATTTAAATTGGCATAGTTTCATTTGGTACAAATGTTATAATACAAAAGAAAAGCTTACTGAAAGAGGGATCCTATTGAAAAAAAAATTACGCCCTCTTTGTAATATCACCGAGGAATCACACTCCCATCTATTTGTCTAATGTCCAATTTTGATGACCATATTAACATATGTATTCAGAATGGTTCCTTTTGATTAGCTGATTGCATTTTTCTGCAAGATTCAAAGAAATTTATTTTGGCCACTCAATACATTGCATATTATATTTGAAAAGAGTGAAATGACTTTATTCTCAGTAATGTATGATCTTTTATTATGATGTTTTATGATGAGATACAAAAAGTTATGATGTTGAAAATAGAATATTAAAAATAATGGGTTCATTGATGCTTATTTTCTTAATATTCTCACAACACTTATTTCACTATTAAATTGTTAACTGAGATGAGATTCAGATGCCACTTTCCTTCACCATGCTTCAATTTTTAATTATGGGATTCTTTTGGTTTCATTCTTATGGGTTCATCTCAAATCAGTTTTTTTTTATTGTAGTAGTAAGGTTGTAGGCATAGAGTAATGGTATTTTTTTCTAGGTTCAAAGTAGTTTTATAATTATTTAAAATAGATACCGTTGGTTCTACAATGATCTCTAATAGGTTTATTGGTTGTAAAGGGATGCATGGTTTTTGTCCCTTTTAGACACTCTATGAACCTAGTTTCATGAACCATCATGTTGTGATATTCAAAATAGTGTGGAATGATGGAGGCTGGCTTTCTATTATAGGCTAAAAGTTTCTCCACAGCTTTCTACTTAGCCTCTTCTCCTTATTCAAAATAGATAATAATAAACACTACATTGAAATCAAAGAGTTCAGGAAGGAATAAATGCTTGGATCTTTGTGTTTTTTTGAGACTATTATCTTTTTTTTTTCTTTTTTCTTTTTTCTTTTTTCTTTTGCAATTTTTAAGAACATATCTTTGATGGAATAAAAGTTGGATGGGAATCCTTGATTCATTCTTTTTCTAAGGCTTCTCGATTAATTGATGTAATCTTGATTGCAGATGCTCTTTCAACCTAGTTTCATGACATCTTGTTGTGGCATTCAAATATAGTGGAATGTTAGAGATAGGCATTCTGTTAGAAGCTATCAGGATAATTTTGTTATAGATACTTTTTAACCTTTTTTGTTTATTCAAAACAGTGATCAAAGATGCTAAGAATGAATCAATGATTGGACCTTTTGTGATTTATGGGCCTTTTTATTGATATTTTCACAATTTTTAAGAATTACCTTTGGCTGAATTAAAACTTGATAGTGATTCTTGATTCAGGTACCTTTTGTTGGGAAAACTTCTGGTAGACAAGTTCCAATGTCATGCATTAATTTGAGACTGCTAGGTTAATTGGTATTTTTTTTTATACTATAATTATATAGCGACCTCAAAGAGCAAATTGAAAATTTTTTGATCAAATCTTACCATTTTTTGAGTTGCATGTCTTCTTTTCTATCTCTTATGATTTTTCTTAATAGTTATTTTTTGATTGCCTAAGAGAAGATGATGGGGATTCTGTTTGCTCTTCTTGAGTTCGGTTCTTTCATCTTATAGAGAGGAAGGATTTTGAAGAGGCAACTAAGAGGGTACCTCTAGGATTCTGATCGGAACTATGGTTGATACATTTAATTTTTCTCTAATAGTCTTTCTTTTGTTTGCTACAAAGTTTATCAGCTTTAGTTTTGAAAATATATGTTTTTTTTTCTTGAGTGCTTTAAATTTTGTTATCTACTAGTGTAATTTTCCTTAGTTTCTTTTAAAGCATTTTATTGAGTTTTTATATTTTTCATGAGTAAAATTCAGTTTGGCGAAGCCCACACCATTCCATATGGAAAAAAAAAAAAAATGCAAAAAATTCACCTTTAAATTCAGGATGACTAATGAGATACAACATGTAAATCTCTTTTAAATAAAGGCCCAACAATATTATGAGCAAATTAACAGCAATAACTTGTACATGATTTAGGATCATCATAATGAATGGTCAGTGGGGAAATGATGACAAATATTAGATTGGAACTATTGTGGTAAATTGAGTCCATGGAAGGGGTTACAAGTGAACCAACAAAGTATTTTATTGTATTGAAAAATATTTTTGCTTTTATTTATTTTTTTCTTTTTAAAGCTATTTTTAAGATAAATTAGAATATTTGGAGTGGCATGCAAGCAAATCAGCCTAAAATTTATACAACAACAACAACAACAACAACAACAACAACAACAACCAACAACAACAACAACAAAACCTTTTTCCCACTAAGTGGGGTCGGCTACATGAATCCTTTTTCTTCATTGCGTCCTATTTAGTGTCATGTTTTCATCTAATTATAATACATTAAGATCATTTTTTATATAATATGATCAAGTCTTCCGAGGTCTATCTCTGCCTTTCTTAACATAAGTCAAATCTAAAATATCTACTCTTGTAATAAGATCATCAAATGGTCGACGTTTAATGTGACCAAACCATCGAAGACGACTCTATTTAATTTTGTCCGTCACTGAAGCTACACCA